CCACACTGAACATAACAACGATCAAAATTTGATCAGATATAGAAGTGAGAAACAGTGATCAGACGATTTGGTGAAAAAGATACATCCCCTTCAAAGAGGGCCCAGAATAAAAAGCATCTCTAAAGGCATTAGTGCAGCCAACAAAATCTTCAACACCCACACTGAACATAACAACGATCAAAATTTGATCAGATATAGAAGTGAGAAACAGTGATCAGACGATTTGGTGAAAAAGATCCATCCCCTTCAAAGAGGGCCTAGAATAAAAAGTCATTGTCTAGCATCTCTAAAGGCATTAGTGCAGCCAACAAAATCTTCAACACCCACACTGAACATAACAACGATCAAAATTTGATCAGATATAGAAGTGAGAAACAGTGATCAGACGAATTGGTGAAAAAGATCCATCCCCTTCCCTATCTGACAGTGTCTTGGGTAAGAAGAATTGGTCTGAGGACATAAATAGAATGAGAAAGCAGTCTGTGGACAAACAGCACAAACCACTCTGACTAGTGATGTCTGTAGATCAGTAGCAAAGAAAAATAAACCTTCTGGTAAAGGTGATACATGGCATATGAGAATCACGTCACAAACAGGTGTTGAGAAAGGACATGTAATATGTAACCTTAATATAACAGTTAGGTAACTGGAATGGTCGTTTGGAACCAAGGATCCAACATGACTTGAGGAATCCAGAGAGTATTGGAGACTTAAAGAATATTTTATGGTGAGTATTGAATGGTAGTCTATAAGGCTGCCTTATACAGGGCAATTGTGGAAGATGCAAAAAACAAGTTATAGTTGGCACTTCTGATTGAAGTGGGTTCAACCTCCTCTTAATACACCATTATCGATGTCATTTCTGTTGATAAATGTTCATCGCGGGACGAAGGAAAAACTGAGACAGATACATGGCAACCTTAGAAATTAAACCTTGATGCAGTGTGAAAGGCTGCATAATCTCTATGCCTGAAGATTGAGATTTGAATAGCTGAGTGTACCATGTCAGATCATGGCTGCCTCCACAGAAATGGCCTAAGAAGAAGTGGAAGAGGTGGACACTCCACAGAAGCAAAAACCAGAGTGTAGCTGCCAATCTGGTGCTATCAACAGGACTCAAAAATGGGTTGGAACCATTAAGGGTAACTGACAAATAGTCTGCCAGACAGAGATAGTTTCTGAGAAAAGAATTATGAGATTGAGAATAGCCTATACTTAAAGGCTGGGCTACAGAAGCCAGTCTCAAACAAGACTCATCATTGATCTGAATACAGAAAACTATCAACAAGACAAAGAAGTCTACAAAGACGACCCCCACCAAAATAAGAAATTTGAGGATCAATTGACACTGAAGTAAAATGAAGCAAATTAGAAAACTCCATCACCCATCAAAATACCCATAATACAATGTACAGAGTTCAGCATTTATTGTGATATCAGGGGAAGCAGAAAATAAAAATTCTAATACAGAACTCTCTAACATAAAACTAGCCCTATCAGGCATTACAGAAATAGGCTAATATTTAAGTTAGCATATGCCTGTGTTGTATGCTGAAGCACAGAAGTGTCATCAGGAATAATGTCAGTTTATAAGCCCTGTTCTTCTGAAACAGAGAGTAAAAAGGCCTGGGCAAATAACCAGGCTTGTTCACCAACAGGCAAGTAAGGGCAATGCTTTGTGACACTGGAATCAACCTGAATGGGAAATAGCACAGAGATAATAGCAGGTGATTCAGCATGTGTGGCCCAAATGAAGAAGCAAAAACTTCTGAATTAGCAAAAATATAACACCAAGGTTAACATTAAAATTCAGATTCATGATGATGAAACAAAACAATGTAGCAACAGGACTGCCAACAAAACAATTAAGCTTTGGACTGGAATGTAGAGCTAAGTAGTCCCCTAACACGTGCAAATAAGTCATATGGAAGGTGGTAAAAAAGGAGAACTGTGAGTATATAAGATGTATTGCATCAAGGTCATTCAAAAAATTAGGTCACATTACATTGACAAAGTGAGTTCTTCTTAACAAGAAGAGGCTAACTGTAATAAAAAAAGTCTGCCTATTTTGAATTGCTAATTAGGGCTGATTTATGTGGGCTAAACCTGAGTCTGTAATGAATATTTAATTCAAGTTCTTCTATTTGCCTGCCTGCATTAACGAAAAACAGGTAAATTAAACTGAATAAAACTTCAGCTTGGTGAAATCTTGTCATTTATACTTAAATCATTTTTGATATTAAAATTGCACATTAAATTATTTTATCCAAATTTTTTATGTTATATATATGATGAATAACTTGTATACTTTTTCAAAAATTATCACACTGACAGTACTGTACAACAAGATTGGAATAATACATTAAAATTAAAAGAGCTATATGAGACTTTGTAAGAAAACTTAAAAATACAGAAAACAATTTTTTTCTACTGCTTTGATGACCAATTCAAACAATACTGGTACTTACAACAATGGTTCCTTCTTTTCCATGATTTTGATGGAATTCAACCATTTCTTTAAATGGAAAATCACAGATGACATCACTGTTCAAAACAAAGAAAGGTTCTTGGTCTGAGCTGAGGATGTCTTTTGCTAAAGCCAAAGGTCCTGCAGTTCCCAAAGGTTCATCTTCATGTGAAAGTGTAATTTTTATTCCTAACTGGTAAATAAAATATATATATATTATTTATACTTATATATGTATAAAACTTGAATACGAAAGCATTTTTCAAGTCTCATTCAAATAAATTAAAACACACCCTTTTAAAATATTACATTAAATAATTATGGTACTTGTGATGATGAAATATCAATCTTTGTCATAGCTAGTAGCCAATCCAAGATTTTAATTTTTTAATATTTTGAATTGTATCATAGGATGTTACCTGTTCAAGTGGTTCATGAATATTGAAGATACATTCATAATATGGCCACAGATTTCAAAAAGATAAACTACCTTACTCTGGCATGATGGTTACCAATATACATAATTCATATACCACAGGAATTTACATGAAACCACAGTAAATACCTTGACTATAAATCAGACTACTCCAACAGTGCAAAGATAGGAATCATAAATTGCCTGCCTTGTTTCCAGAATAAACAAAGTTTATAATAACAAATAAAGTAAGAAAAACACATAACTGAAAACTTCTTCAACAATGGACACCCTAAACACTTAATACAATAAACAATAAGAAGAAAATTACAAACATATACTTTGTACATAAAAAATATAAAATCATTACAGTAGTCAGAAGCCATAAAACAATGTGTTTGTGATTAATACACACCAAATCACCTAAATACCCAATGTAGAGGAAAAATACCATTTAAAACTTCCCCTGTGAATGTAGATTCCAATATACTGGAGAAAGAAACAGACCAAAAAATGGGAGGAAACACCAGTTGAATGTATAATACACACACTTTTATCAAGAACAACCAAGATCAAATCCTGGCCACTACTGTAAGGAAAATAGTATTTCTCAGTAATTCCCTGAAAAGAAAAAGCAGATTAGTAGCTAAAACATAAGATAAACTAATTAGTAATTAGTACACATATATAAATATACAAACTTAGTTACTAATTAATAATTAGACTTGGATAATCCTATAGGCTATTAACTACCACAACAAATATTACAGTAATTTGCACTTTTTACCCATTTTTCATTTTTTGTAGTGTAAATGTAACATTATAGAAAAAAAATCAGAGAGTCAAATAAAAAGAAAATGCTAAAGTTATCAGACAGATACTTACCTCTACACAGAACAAATGACTAATACCTGGTACCACACCCCTACACACAATAATACATACTGTGCCACTTTATGATGCACTCAGCATTCCACCAATAGAAGAGTGACATCCTCCATACACAGTATTCCCCACAAACACTGTGTATACCAAAAGCTGATTCTTGACAGGGAAAAGGGGTGGGTGGTTTTGTGGAAGTGAGTTATCTACTTGATATACATTTTCAGATAAGAAAAATGTTAATTTCAGAAACACTATTCACCTCTCCAAAGAACAAATAACTAGAATCCCAGATAGAGAAAATGGTGGATGGACTAGTATAGAGAAAGAAATGAAACTGATGAGATCCTTTCTAAGAATATAGCAACAGAAAGAGAAAACTCGTACAGCGTGTCACCCACTAGAGGGGACCTATTGGGAACATCACTCAGCAAAAGACCCCATATGTCTCAACTGGGGAAAAAGACTCTTCACACAATACAAGTGCTAGTGCAGAAAAGTAATGTCAAAAGAACCTCTTGCATGATGCTAAATTGTGAAAATTGCAGGAAGAATGTAAAGGCTGTTCAACCGACCTGTATTTCTTAGGGGTTCGGCTGATCATATATGTGTAGTATGGCACGGGCAATAAGTCAACCTTTGCAGTATGTGAGAATTATAAGATATTCTTGTGAGAATAAGTAGATGCAGGAATGAATCATCCCAAGGAAAAAGCAAAACCCAACTGACTAGTCACAACCACTGGGAATGGTTTGGTTCTTAGTGAAGAGAGTGGTCTGTACTACATTTCCACATAAGAAACCCCTGCCCTACTTTCAATCAAGGGGTCCCTCCACTCAAGTCTCATACCAATGGGATTATACTGACTCAAAGGAGAACTCTCCACCTGCTTGGTACTGGGAAAGTAAGAGTTCACCTATACTTCACTAGGAAAAAATGGAAGAGAGAAATTCCCACTGGAGAGGTGGGTGGGCTTAACAGGAATATTCTATCATCTGCATAAGGTCCCACACTGAGAGACTGTGTAATAGTTTGCTGCAAATAGGAGGAGCAGGAGCTGACCATGTGTGAGGGCAGGGAACCACACCTGATGCTTTTTTTGTTTTGTAGTAATACAGCTTGGAAAGTAAAATATTTAATTTGCTGAAGCAGTCTTGTGGAAAACCTATCTCAACAGCAGGCACTGACCAAAGAAAGATGGTCTTAACACTGTGTATATGTGTGAATACTGCAACAAAAGAAAAAAATCAACAACTGAGCTTTTAAAGTCTCTGGGAAGACTGAATAACAGCAACTGGAGGGAGACAAAACACTGAGGTGAAAGACACCACAATGTGGTGTAAATAATGTTACACAAAGATGTTGAGAACCGTCCACATCCTCACCTGCAACATTTCATCCAGAGGACATCAACAGCCAGAAGCAAGAGAAGATATGAAATGACAAGTCCATAAAGGAAAGGACAAGTTGAATGAATTGTTTAAAATAACTGGTCAATTCATGAGAAGAAAAATCCCATAGCAAAATAAGATCAGAAATGAGAAAAAAATGGCAACCATGGGGTATATTCCACTGATCTGCCAGAATCCACTAAAGAGGACAAAAAAGTACACAGCTGAAAAATAAAATCGGGCAACATGAAGGACGGGTTAGTTTGACTTTTCCTGTGTAAAGCTATTGAGGTTGCAATTCAACGCCTCAGAACAAAAAGGAAGAGGATAACTAGCTAAAAAGATGAGTAAGCAAAAGGCAAAGAGGAGTTGATTGCAGGTAAAAATGAATATCAAAGTATGAAAATGAGAAAATCCCCAAGATTCAATAGATAGAAGCATTAGAAAAGAAGAAGGATTTTAACAACATACCACAGAGAAAAAGTCCTAACTTCAGGGAGGGGATCACAAATGATAGTCAACACAAAGCAGGGACAGAAAAAATCTACAACAACTGGGAGAGGGAGAAAGAGAGAATAAATATCTTAGAGTTGAGGTGCATGTGAGAATTAACCAGCAGAAACGACTGGAGTAAGAGAATAAATGTCACGTACCTG